AACGGTGAGAGTCCGGTTCATCATTTTGACCTCCAAAAATACTAGAATTGCTGGTATTCGTTCGTTCATTGATCTATCCAGTGAATCAAGAAATTCTCTATTGAATGCATCTGAATCATGATGTTGGAAGGGGTTTATAAGGCCATCAAGTCCAACCCCCTGCTGAATGCAGGGATCTAAATCAAAGCAGATCCGACAGAGGGTTGTCCAATTTTCTCTTGAATGTCTCCAGCGTTGGAGTGCTCACCACCTCCCGAGGTCATTGGTTCCATTGTCGTACCGCTCTAACAGTTAGGAAGTTTTTCTTGATATTCAGCTGAAATCTGGTTTCCTGGAACTTGAGCCCATGGTTGAGTGTCCTGCACTCTGGGATCATCGAGAGCCGAATCTTATGTACCGCTAAGATCGCAACTCCTCTTGAACCCAAAGAGTTGGGGCATCTTTCCATTAGGTATCAGAAGGCCATTCCTTGTATGTTTTCAGATTTCTGCTCATACCGTACAAGAAAAAAGAAACTAGCACCTGAGTGGGGGGAGCACTGCATCTTGTTTACACTTCAAGCTAAAGCCATCATGGGGACAGCGACGTGCATGATAAAACATTCCCCAAGAGAATGTATTGGGGGGGGATTTTTAAAAAAATTGTAGACGCTTCCCCCCAACTTGAGTAGGAGTATTATCTAGAGAACTGCCATTAAATATACCTTTTAGAGTGTGCTGAGGAACGTGTTTAATAAGTGGCAAGGAGGGGGGGAGAAAGCATGAAAAGAAAAACAGCCACCCCTGGGGAGCACAGCGAATACACAAGAAAGGTTCCATAAAGACGAAGGGACACAGTGTGAAAAGGAAGCTAAATGTTACATTATCCCGGAGCTAATATTCCACCTTGTTTTGCTAAGAAGGGACCTGGAGGGTGTTAAAAAGCGTGAGTCACATCCATGGGGGAAAAAAGTTTAAGAAATCACAAAGTAACTGCTGTTGAGGGATTTCGGATAGATGGATGGGGATCATTCAGGATCCATCGGATTAGGCAAGGATGTTGGCACGTTTTGGGGGTCTGAGTCCCAAATACTGAGTCCCAAGTCCCTATTAAAAATAAGCCCCCCCCCCAAAAAAACCAGAGGAGTTGGTTGGGTTCTGAGTCGCACATTGAGTCAAAGTCATTGAAAAATGAGCTGAATCACCAATACGACTTAAGTCTGACTTGACAGCCAAGTCCCATGACTTGAGTCTCCATCTCTGGAATTAGGGGAGGACTCTGAGGTCCAGACATGTATGGACCACGTTCTTGCTTTCTAGAGTTACAGGAGAACCCACACACTTTTTTCTTCTGCAGGTCTGGGCTTCCTAATTAGGTCACTTTTTTTTCTTATACCTTCCTCCCACTGCTGAGATTGAACTTCCTAATTAGAGCAGGGCGTCCTGCACTGTCCATCTTGACCAGCTGGAAGGTGGGAAATGAAAATCAGAAGAAGCCTCTCGCTGCAGGAGTCAAGACACTTCTCACGTCGCCTTGAAAGCTACCTTTCTATACGTCTCCACTGTTTACATCCCAATTAAGGTCAGACCAGAAGAAGACCCAGTGGGATGCTATTTAATGAGCAGGGTTGGGGCAGAAACGACACGTTTACGGCAACTGGATCGAAACGTTCTCTCGTCTGTGGAGCAGAGCTGGTGGGCCAGATTAAGTTCGTGAAACCCCTCATGCCCCAGTTGAAATGCGCTTTCAAGATATTAGTTTTAATGGACTTGAGACCGTAGATTTGGTGCAATCCACACTTCTTACAAATCCCGGCTCCTGTTACGGTTTTCCAAAATCCGCGTTCTTACATAGACAGGTCAGGAGAGATTGGTACAGATTGGTACCCCAGTTCAGTGTTGACTCTCAACTGTGGAGCAGCACAGCAGAGAGTGTTCAAGGCAAGTTCATATCTGCATCCATCAAGTGACGATTCTACAGAATCACAGAGTAAAGTTGGAAGGGGCCTCTAAGGCCATTGAGTCCAATCCCCTGCTCAAGGAAGGAATAATCAAACGGTATCTGCCAGGTGGTTGTCCAAGTTTCTCTGGAATGCCTCGAACATTGGAGCGCTCGCCACCTCTCGAGGTGGCTGATTCTGTTGTCGTACAACTCTTACAGTTATGAAGTTTTTCCTGATATTCAAATGAAGACAGATATGCAACTATGAATAATGTGCTATGGTTTATGGGAGTCTGGGAATTGTGGCCTCCCAAAGTAACGTGTCCAAGCCACAAAGTGGAACAAAATTCTTGAGCTTTTGGTATTTCGCCTTTTTTCTATTGACTCGGTGAAAGAGAAGGATGCCGTCAGGTGCTCTTCCATCATGCCTCGCCAGGCTCCGGACAGGTTCCCCTTCTTATAACTGCTGCTGGCAATACCATCAGAGCAAGAGGAAGTAGGTAGATCTGTGCGGAACTATGCCCGAGGGCCCACTTTCTTCCAACTATTCACTGGGAAGCATCAGCAGCAATTTCATGACCTGGTGAACCGTCTGGTACTGAATTTTATAAAAGAGAATCTAGTGCCTGAGTTTTTCCTCTTCTCTCCTAGTGACTTTTCCTTTTTAAGTTATGTCTTTCACAGCCCAAGCATGCAGGCAACGATTATCTCACATCTGACAAGGGTTAAGACATTCAAGGACTCCTTTTGAGTAAAAAAGGGTGAAAATGTACGACGTAATTGAAAGAATTATCTTGGAACACTTGGGTCTAGATTCAATATAACACTCATGATAGCACAGGGATTTTTTTTTACCCCACCCACCCATCCATTGACTCCACCTCAGTCCTTTCCTTTGCCCGACATATAATTTAGAGGGTTTTCCTGAAGTCTGGAGCAGCAGATTTTTTGGGGTGTTAATGGAGCATCAGGAGAGAGGAGAGACTGAGGCCTCCTTTCCTGGGTTTTGCTCCTGTGCAAAAAAACCAGAAGATATATTGCTGGTTCTGTTTCTCCTTCCTATACAGTATGAAGAATCTGTCTGCTCCATTATTGCCTTTAAGCGGTCAAATGTAATGGGTTCTAAACCACAGAATATTACACAACCGTATTTGCAACTTTACAGGATGGTAACAGGCCATTGATCAAACATGCTATCGGTCTGGCCTCCATTTCCAAAGCCTCCCTTTAAAATATTGCCAGCGTATTAAGAAAACTGTTTTAAAGTTGTTTCTCTGAACTTCTATCCCTATGATAAATGTATCTGTAATTATAGGAAGCTCACAAGATTTAGTATATAATTGCCATTTGCCCACCGGCCATTTATAAAGGCACGACAGCATCTCTGCGAACTTTCGAGACTTTTTCATTCAAGCACTGCGGAGGGAGGGGTAGGTGGATAGTTAAATAAGGGTACTCTGGAGAACAGGAGGGCTCTTTTTTTGCATTTGGGGAGGCGATAGCAGAACGAAGAATGTGTCGAAATAAAAATAGGTCAGTGACTAGGGGTCCGTGAAATGGCACAGTACATGCTGAACCGATTTGAGATTTCAGGAAAGACTGTGGTAAATGCTTCAAGGGATCCTAACCCGCTCTCCAATGTAAAGCCAGATTAACTGTACTGTTGTATTCATGCCTTACGATACCCAGTGTGGTGTAATGAAGTGTGGTGGGCTAGGGGCTTTGGAGGCCTGGGTTCGAATCCTCGCTCAGGCACGGAAACTCCCGGGAGATGTAGGAATGGTAAGAAAACTTCTTAAATATCTCACTTACCTTGAAAGACCCATTAGGGTCACTGTTAGGCGGTTGTAACATGAGAGCACAGAACAATTCATGTCTTACTCTAGCTTGGGTTATGTATAGTAAACTTTCCCACTGACTATACACTCAAAAAGTGCAAGTAATACGATACAGGGCAGGGGGCAACTCACACTTATTTTTGACATGAGTTTCAGTAGCCATTGATTAGTCTTCCAGGCCACATTTAAAGTTTGATGTTTAATTTTAAAGCCCTCCATGATCCAAGAGAAGGGCTCTTGGACTGAGATTTGGCAAGGAACCTCTTTCTCTGCTATTGGCCAAATACTGAATAAGCCTTTCCTAGATGGAGCCCCTAAATCTCAGACTGAACTCCAATGCAGTATTATTGCAGTGGAGATCCTGCCCTTTTAGAAAAGAACGATCAAGAATAGAGATGGGAAGGCTGCCGGGGGGGGGGGGAGGGGGGATGGAAAAACTGGGGAAAAAACAGGAGTTTTTCTGGTTTTTCCCAAAGCCGCCCCCCCACGAAAAAAAGGAGTATGGAATATGTTTACAATGATAAATAATATGTCTGTGATGTGGTATTCAAACTATATAACATTAAGACCTTAATGAAAGACTTCTGAGACTTTATGTATCAAGACCTAAGGTGAGGTCTTTCTGATTATATGCTTAACTAGCATCACAAGTCTTTTGCCTCAACTCTGGCCTCTTCCTAACCATTTCTTTTTTCCTTTCATGGTTCTATTCTGCTTTCAGTACCTACCAAACTATCAAAACTAGTCATATTTATAGTCTACCTCCCAAGAAGGGAACCCAGGGCACTTCACAATACTAGAAACAATATTAAAAACTAAGAAGTTATGCATTTAAAAAACAACAATTAAACTTCAAAACTGATTTTAAAAAGAATTGAATAAAACAGGTAAAATATTAAAAGTTATCTGAACTTCAAAATAGCACTCAGGGACTCAATCATGATTGTTCAAAGTCTGCCTGAAAAATTGGGGTCTTCAGCTGTCGGTGGAAGGATAAGAGAGGAGGGCCAGCCTGACTTCCCGAGGGAGACCGTTCCATCACCTGGGGGCAGCCCCACAGAAGGCCCTGTGTTGTCCCCCCTTCAAACTGGGCTTGCCCTGGTGGTGGGATCACAAGGAACGTCTCCTCGGATCAGCTTAAGGCTCCTTAGGAATCCGCCACTTGGGAAAATGCTGACCGAAAAGTGAGACTCAGCCCATCCGACACAAAACTTAAGAACAAACCTCCCCAAAACACGTGGCTAATAAAAAAAGGGTTCCTCTGCCATTTTATTTATACAACACTCGCCAGAAACGCTGTATTTACAAATATACAGACACCGTTTGTGGAAAATTCTTGCGGAAGGACCGGTCAAAATTCTGTCATTTACAAAAAAACAACAACCCCAAAAGCTGTGTTATCAAAAGGAAGTTCTGTGTGGAAAATTCAGTGAGCTCCCAAAGATGTTTTTTTCTTCTTCTTCTGTACATTTAGGGAAGGATTTCAAACGCTCCCTGAAATCTGCCACTAGACAAACAAAACGGAGTTTAAGAACCATCTGAACCGAGACTTCCGACCGCGTGTTATCTTCGAAAGAGCTCAGGCTTCCGGGCTCAAGAGGCACTCGTTGGGATGTTCTTCGAGGCGGCCAGCATTGCCCTCACTTTGGCCATAAGATCCTGCAAGAAACAGGCAAAGACCCCGTGAGGACGGCGCCTCTAAACCATCTCACGGTATGAACGCACAAGCTTGAGAAGAGGTTAAAATGAAAAAATAAACAACACAGAGAAAGCCCTGGTTTCCAACTCCTGAGACTAAAACCATCCACGGGCAGGACTTTCTAAATCTGGGAGGGGTTTCCAATGCGGCCGAAACCACGAAAGAAGTCAGAGTGGCTGAGCTGCAACCTGATGCCCAATTTCTGCAGAGAATACGCCAGAAGCAAAATGCAATCTTTCAAAGGAGCTGACTTCGTCCCTGGCAAAATTAATTGCCAACGATGGGCTTTGACCTTGCGGCGTAGTGGTTAAAACGCTGTACTGCAGCTAAAACTGTGCTCACGACCTGGGGTTCAATCCCAGGTAGCCGGCTCAAGGTTGACTCAGCCTTCTATCCTTCTGGGGCGGGGGGGGGATGTGTAGCCTGCATCATTAACTTGTAAACCGCCCAGAGAGTGCTTGAAGCACTATGGGGCGGTATATAAGCAGCACGCTTTGCTTTGCTTCGGCATGGTTCCAAGGAATAATGCTTTGATTCCAAAGAAAGGGGAAGAGAAGACCGCTGGATTCATAGACAGACCAACCTGCTTTTCAGAGACTACTAATACTTGTCGGGAAGAACCATTTGCAGGTCAGAACAAGCTCTACTTAGTTGGCCACCCGGATGATGTTCCTTGACCTTCGTCCCAATACTTCCTGCTCTCACTGCTGGGTCCAAAAGGATAACATCACCTTAATTCAAGCAGGGCTATCCTCCCTATGCTTTTGATAAGAGACAAGGAACTCTGCTTTTGGGGGATACCAAGCGTCGGTCCACTCCCTTGTGGAGTGACGTCCGTACTCCAGAGAGCGGGGGCTTCACACAGGCCAACTCCAGCCTCCGGAAGTTGTTCCTGTTCTTTTACAAGCACCCTCTTTTCTGTTTATTTATAAAGGCTCGAGGTGGCAGAACTGTAAGGAGAACGTTCTAACCCCTTTTTCTCTACTGCCCAAAGGCAGAGGGCATTTTTCAAAACTGGGAATGAACGGTTTGGGGGAAATGTCAGGGCTGTACATGCTGGGTAGAGTGATGGGAGGCCCAGGAATCCTCTACAAGAGACAGGGCCTTCTCTGCGGTGGCTCCCACTTTATAGAACCAGCTTCCGGAGGAGCTCCGCCGAGCCCTCTCCCTCTTGACACTGCATGCTCTGGGTCTCTTCAGCAGCCCCTCCTCCTGGCGCAAAAGGGGCATTCCTAGAAGCCTCTAGGAACGCTAGTTTCCTTTCTTAACATGCCACGGGCCTCCCACCTCTCCCGTTTTAACATTACAGAAGATTCATTTTTGAACCAGGAAGTGGACTTTCAGCCTTTTCTGGTTTCATTTCCTTCATTTTAACTGTTTTCATAGTTGGGACCCAACAAAAGGTGTGCACCTCTTCCTAAGAGTGACAAGATTGTCTTTTTTCTTTTTGGCACAGTCCTCTTTTTAATGAGATACGGACTTTCCTGCCACTTCTGATTCCCCCCCTCAATTTTGCAAAGTTTGTGCCGCCCCCCAAAAGCCCTCTGGGGCTCGGCTGTGTTTGCTTTCCAGAAATGGGCTCTTCCTCTCCTGTGAGAAAGGCAATCGCTTAGCCGTTTGAGCAGGAAAGGCCCCTCTCCTTCCCCTGAAACGCAAAGGGAATGCTTGTTCAAGAACCACACTCTTGAAGGAAACACAGTGCAAATTCTCTATTTTTTTTTTTTAAAAAAATGTGTCAAGCTCAATTTCTCAACACGAACGCACTAAGAAGAATTCAAATATCTGTTTGGAAACAATTCTGCCGAGGCAAATTAAATTGGCAGGAAGAACAAGAGGAAAGGAGCCCTTTGTTAAGACGGGAGAAACTGAACGGCGTTGCTCACGAAACGACCGTTTCTTGACTTGACAACGTTGCGGCTTTTCTGCAGAGTTTGCTCGGAGCACCAAAGGTAAGATCCTGCTGTTGAGAAGGCTGCTAAGCTAACGCCGTGACCCACCGCACCACAAACCAGCGGACATTTCTGTGATATCGCCCATCAGTAAATAAACCCAATCGGACCTTTTCGCAGGGCAGCAGTCTGTAACCCCGGGATGATGAACAGCGCTTGGTAATGATCTTCAAAGCGCTATTTAGTGCTAATTAGAATAACTGTGGCACCCTTGAGCTGGCCAAACGCTTGTCATCATGATGAATGGGGCTGGGAGGGAGGGAGGGAGGGGGAGACCTCAGCGAAGGGAAGTTTTTTTGATACTCAGAAGGGCAGCTGTGCAACAAGCTGCGGGTTCGAACCCTGTTGAGCCTGAAGGCAGCTTCCGCCTGAAGCAGCGCATCTCCACGGCACCGTTAAAGCAGTTCAGATACTACTTTTCATCCGGTGGGATCCTGGAAGGTGTAACTTCACAGGTGACTTCTGATTCTTCGCTAATAAAAATAACCATGCACCATCAAGTGAATTCTGACTCATGGTGACTCTTTTTCAGGATATTTTTTAGGTAGAGAATTCTCAGAAATGGCTTCCCTTCTGTTCCCCCCCCCCCGGGGGGGGCACCCTGGGACTGTGCTGCTTGCCCAAGGCCACCCAGGCTAGCTTTTCCGGGATGCACAGTGGGGGAACCGAACTCTCAAACTCTGGCTCCGCAGACCGAGACCTAAAGCATGGAGCTATCTGGCCAGCTCCAATTCTTTGTTAGAGAACTCCAGTGCCCTTAAGGTTTAAAAGCGGCATCGGACTGCTGTAACTGTGCAGTGCGGATACAAACTGAAGGTAGAGGTTTGCTCTGCCCAACAGACTTGAATGGCGAGGTCTGGCTTAGATGGAAGATGTGGGACGTGGGCTGAACTCTCTTTCTTAGCTTGCCAATCTCATGATGAATGAGCAAACCTCCCTTCCTCTCTCCCCAGGACTCTCTGCCTCCTGCTTTAAATTTAAAGAGCTCAGAAAGTCAAAAAAGAGGTAGAGTGACCCCGATGCATGACACTCTGTGCTCTTGGCTTTCAGCACCGCCACTGTATATGGCGCTAAATAAGACATGTACTTGCTTCTGAGACACTTACAGTCTCAGCTGATCACAGCAGCAAAACGGAGCAAGATGACATTAGATAAACAAACGCAGTGACACAGCGTATCCAGACCATCTTCGGATCATTAAAAGCCTTGTAAGCAGGCCGTTCCGAGTCATACCTGAGTGATTTTGCTTTGTACGGACGACACAATGGCGGAAGAGATCTGGCCGTCTTTTTCCAAAGAGACCCCTCTAGAAAGAATTCGTTAAGAAGGGGGGGGAAAAAAAGATAATCAGATGAAGATAATCAGTTTACAGAAGAAACGCAAAGGAAAAGCTATGAGAGCTGGCGGCCAGTTCAAATTTCAGTTTTTCTAATAAGATATAGGAATGCAGTTATATATATATATATGTATATAGATTTTTTAAGATCGATTTTATGTTTCCCAGTTTAAATAATGATCCTTACTTTTGCTGGTCAATGACCATCATAAAACATTTATTATAATTATAATTTCAGTTTTGTCATCCCTCGCTAGGCAGCTTTGGATACTAGTCCAAGTGTTTGGACTAGAACCTCCCAAATTCCCAGCCAGCAGCATGGGAGTTGTGGTTAAAACAAACGAAACGCCAGGGCAAACCTCGGCTCTAAACTTCACTCGTTCTCTCCTGACCATTTCGACGGAGGGACGAGGGCACTGCAGTAGCGGACTGCTTTTCAAGGCTCCTTGGAAGGATCCACAAGACAATTTATGGGGAGTCTTTTGAGTATTCAGTCTCAGCTTTATAGAATACTAAATTATAATTTAATATCGCCAGTAGAGGCGGCACGGTTCAAATGCACCTAGATAAATGGTGGCCATTCAGAGCTGTCTGCAGTCTCTCATTCCCGGGGCCTTCTCGTCATCAATTTAGAACTGGATGTTTCCGCACACGGTTTCATGGTCATTTGGAACATGGCAAAGTTACTGCCGAATGGCCCAGAAGGCACAGAGGCATGGTTTCCTCGCGGGATGTAGAGGTTTCATGGGGAAGAAACAGCTCGCTGGGGCTGGTTCTAAAAATCAGCACTCTCAGTATTGTTTTTAAGGAGGCGGGGAGCTAACAATAACAGTTGCAATGGATACAAACCAGTGTCAAAAGTAAGTCTTTCTCTGTGGAAAGCAATGCAAGCAAGCAATACACTGTTTTCAGGAACAGCTAGAGAAGGTAGAGATGGACACGTCCGAACACTCATCACTGCTTAATCAAATGAAACCTATAATCACTCGGGAGGCTGCTCATGTGTTACAAGGTCTTGCTGTGGCAAGCAAGGGGGAAGAGAGAGAAAACTACGTATTTGAATACCTTCCGCCTTTATAAGAAAAGATTTCCCGTACAAGGAAAAAAAACAAACAAACCAAACCCAGCATCGCGAAAAGCCCTAGTTTTGTACAGAGCTTTAAAACAAAGGGTGAGAAAGCAATCATAACAGTGATGGTTCGCCTCCCACCTCGTCTGCTCTACACCCAGATCCATCTGCATTTTTGCAAAGCACTGTACTTGAGACGCAGGAGTGTTATAGGACCCTTCTCAAGACCCAGAAAAATATAAAGGCAGATCACACTAAGTGTGCACATCCCAGGCAAAAAGCCCTCTGTATTTAGGCTCAAAGGGCCTGGATTCAAGGGCACTGGGGACTCCTTTTTCTCATGGGTCTAGGGGACCGCTCTCCTTGCAGGCAACTCTCTGCTCTCTCTGTTTTATCCTGAGTGATCCGCCCCGCAACCCTGCGTCAGGCACTAGGGAACAAGGAAGGCCCCGGCGTCCGGATTTTGAAAAAGCCCCTTACCCGGAACGTTCTTGGCTAGATCCCCGACTCTCCACGGGAGAGACACTGGTGGAATGGGTGGCGTTCTTGTGCGCCGAGTGTCTGCTCGGCGAGACGGAGGGCGAGTGAGACCTTGCTTTGGACTTGCCGTGGGCGTGAGCTCTCCTTTTCTTCTTTTCGTGAGGACTTCTGCAAAGAGAAAAGGGGGGGGGGAACACACACCATCCTGTTTACTTTGAAGCCATACATTCAACGGCACAGAGAATATAACTTATTCCTCAACCCACTCCCTTCAGCTCTCCAGGAGCAGATCAGTCCCGTGCCTTAAGTAAAAGTTTTAGAAAACAGAACCCATGTTCGAGCAGGGCCCTCAAGCTAATCCTCCACATTATTTGGGGTTATGAACCCTGGATCCATCTGAAGAAGAAGGAAAAGCCCTTGTAAAAAGGGGGTAGGGGGAGAGGAGGAAAAACCTTCCAACTCACCATCTAAACTTGAAATGAAATTGCCATACTTCTATGCCCGTGATCTAAAAAAGACCAGGTGTTTTGCGGGAAGCGGAAGAGATTTGTGGCACCACTGGCAAAGGGCTCCGCGAGCAAGAAACGGCCGCAGGTATAGACAGACCCCTCTGAGGATGCGTCCCTCCAACTCTGGAGCTCCCTTCCACACCACGCGCTCCATGGCACGTTCTTTCCCTGTTCTGAAACCATCCTCGAACCCATCCCACCACCCGTTTTCTGGGAAGTCTTTGGCACAAGCGTCTCATCATGCCCTTAAAAACCAGGGATGTCCAATGGGCGGACCTGTAGACGTTGGAGTACAACCCCCATCAGCCCCGGCCGATATAGCCAACAGGAGCTCCAGCCCAACAACATCTAGGGGGCCATGGGTGCTTCCACCCCTTTGGTAAACAAGGCCTACTCCCCCTTAATGCTGATAACAACAACAACAACGACAGCCGCCACCACCACTACCGTCTTAGAACTGCAGAGCTGGAAAGGACCCTGGTGGATCATCGAGACCATCCTGTCCACAAGGTGCCGTGGGGAATCAAACTCCCTAACCTCTGGCTCCGCAATCAGAGACCCAAACCACTGAGCTATCCAGCAATTCAAGTGGCTCAACTTCACAGGGTTGTTGTGAGAATACGTTGTGCATGAGAAAAGCCGTCTTTGCCACCTTAAGCCAACTGGAGGAAAGGCGTAACGCTATCTGAAGGGCCGTCAAGCCACAACTAACCAACCAACAGCGACCCAAACAAGATTTTTAAGAGACTGGTGTGTGTGTGTGTGTGTTTAAGGAACGATCTCATCAGTGCCACCCCCTATGCGATTTTTTTCTGGTCAAGAAGGAATTCAAATCCAGGTCTCTGCAGTCCTAGTCTAGCATTCTATTCATGAAATCAAGTGGTTCCCAACCTTGGGTCCCCAGATGGATTAAAAAAACTCCCAGAAACCTTCACCACTAGCTGTGATGGCCAGGATTTCTGGGAGTTGTCGTGCCAGAACATCTGGGGAACCAAGGTTGGGAAGCAATGCACTAAATCATACGGGACCTCTTATAAATGACAGTGACATAAAACAGCAGGAACACCCAAGTTATGTCTCAACCTTTGACAGGAAGGATCTGAGACTGCCAGAATGCTGATTTCATAGGAAAATTCATCCCACCTTCATGGCCCCTTTTCTGATCACCTCCACCCCTTTAACTAGTGAAGAGACCTGCCTATTAAAGAGAGGTTCTCATGCCACGACCAACGCTTGGGGCTTAGATCTTTGTTCTCCTGCTGCAAGCACATTCGATGTTCTTACGACAAATTAACCTTTTTAAAGCCCACGGAGATGGCCCCGTGACTCACTCGTTCTCTACAAGCAGCTTCAATGCAAAACAATTATTTTTCATGAGAATAATGATAAAGACACTCATTCAAACTGTCTCGGCTGCACCCGTCAGGAGGAGGTTGTTTTGCATCGGTAATGTGACCGGCAGACGCAAGTGAGAAATTGCTCTCATAAGGGGAAGAGGTTTTATGGAAACATAAAAATCCCCATTTAAATATATATATATATCCACAGATTTAACAAGGGGACACAAAAAATTTGCTAGTTTTATCACAGGGCGGACACAGCTGCTGGCTTTATCATGTGTTACTTTCCTGTCCCTGAGGTGTGGTCCCTTCTACAGTGGCTCTCAAACTGGGGTCCCCAGATGTTCTTGGACTGCAACTCTCAGAAATCCTGGACAGCACAGCAAGTGGTGAAGGCTTCTGGGAGTTGGAGTCCAAGAATATCTGGGGACCCCCGTTTGAGAGCCACTGTTCTAGAGGACCCTGCACTTCACAAGCTCCTGGCCAAGCTGCCCCAGAGCACGATCAATGGTGGCAATGAACTGGCAGAAAGACAGCATCGTATCTGACAACCCCTCATCAGGTGGTCTGTAGAAGCGGGTGATGTGTGGTTCTCCAGGCCCTGTTCGTTGACAGCTGTCGTCACCCGTCAAGGCCCTCAGTCCTCCTTATCAGCTACGCTGGTCTGGGAAGTCCTGGACGCTCAGCTCAGGGGCAAATCTTGACAGTTTGAGAGTGTTCTAACTTATGGCATTCTGGCATGGTTTGGGAGTAGCTCTGTAGCGGACAAAAAAGCTCTACAGAGAACCATTAAAATTGCCCAGAATATCATCGGGCTCCAGCTACCAACCCTGGATGACATCTTCACATCCCACTGTCTGAGGAAGTCACACAGCATCCTGAGAGACTCTTCCCATCCTGCTTATAACTTTTTTGAACTGTTACCGTCTGGCAGAAGATATAGAACAATTAAGACTCGGACCACACGTTTTCTAAATAGTTTTTATCCTAGAGCTATAATTGCAATTAATAATGAGCTTAAAGACCACCAGTAGTGAATAATTGCTTCACAAGCTCCTGGCAAAGCTGCCCCAGAGCACGATCAATGGTCGCAATGAACTGGCAGAAACCAGCATCGTATCTGACAATCTCTCATCAGGTGGTCTGTAGAAGCGGGTGATGTGTGGTTCTCCAGGCCCTGTTCGTTGACAGCTGTCGTCACCCGTCAAGGCCCTCAGTCCTCCTTATCAGCTAGGCTGGCCCAGGAAGTCCTGGACGCTCAGCTCAGAGGCAAATCTGCATGGGTTTGCTGAGGTGCAGGAGAATGTCTGGCTCTGGGGAGCAAGTGGGCAGTGCTCCCCTGACACCTTCATTCTTCTAGGAAGAAACTCATCTCTTAGAGGATGGGGCAAGAGAACATCACGCTGTGAGCTCCGTGGTGCAAGCGGTTAAGCTGCAGTCCTGCAGTCAAGTCTCCTCTGCTCAAGACCTGAGTTCAATCCTGATGGGATGAGAGAGCTGGCTCAAGGTTGACTCAGCCTTCCAAGGTTGGTAAAAGGAGGACCCAACTTCCAGAGGAGCAAATGGCCGCTTGCATAATTAGGCTGTGAACCGACTAGATAGTGCATTAGCACTAAGGGGAGTATATAAATTGAAACCACAGCCACGTTCCAGAAGATATACAAGGCAGGGGAAGTCCTTAGGTGTCCCACTGGAATGGCAAATTTTTCACACCCCACCATCACAAACGGGAACCAGCAGAGCAAAAGCTTCAGGAATGCAGGAGGATGTCTATGGCTCCATGGCAGCAACCGTACCACCCGACTATTTTGACCATGCTGATCTTGTCAGATCCTGGGAGCAAAGCAGGGTCAGGCCTGGTTAATACTCAGATGGGAGGCCACCAAGGAATACCAAGGTTCTTCAGGTAAGGCTAGGAAAGAATCCTGTGTGAAATCGCCATTCCAGAGTTGGCCACCGTGGGCTTGAGGTCCAAAGGGCCTGGCTCGATCTAAGGCAGGGTCCTATGTTCTGAACTGCTTTGTGTCCAGACGGTCCCAGGAAAAAAAAATCCCTCGCAGGTAAGGAGAAAGAAAGGTGATGATGGGGAAGGAGCCCTACCAGCCATCCTGGAGCGACACGGCCCATGAGAAGAGACCACATCATCCTCACCGTCACAAGGACCCCTTGCCTTTTCAGACAGATGCCATTCCATCCAGGATGACCCACAACATACAAGCTCAACTGAGTGCTATATTTGAAGCTCTGGAGGATGGAGGAAAGATGGCTATCTATGACCTCAGTGATCCACGGAAATCAAGAAGACTTGCATCAGTGCTATCAAGTTCCATTCATGGCAGTCGGTCTGCTCTCGTTGGGCTGAAAAATAGGTTTAAAACTGACCATCCACTTTACAGGACTTCCCTTGCTCCATGGGGATCCCCCCTTCTCTTTCCAATAGACAGTTGGATGCAACTCTACACAGGAATCTTCAACCTGGAATCAAACCCTTGTTCTTTTGATTGGGGACGGAATGAGGCTTTATCTTGCATGTGCCTGGCAACAGCAGGCGCTTCTGCTGATTTCCAAATCATCTGCATCCTCATCCTGCAGAGCTAGAAGAGATCCTGTGGACGACAGAGTCCGTGCCCTGTAGAAGAGATGTAGTGGAGAGGTCTAACAAGGCACTCGGTGTCTGAAACAGCTACAAGCTGGACAGACTCGGGCAGCCTGTTCTGATGGTCTGCTTGCCGGTGCTTATGTTCTTTTAATTAGGACTACCAGCTCACCCGCCTCGCCATTACACGACACGTCCACGTCCCTCCTTCCTGCTGTTTTGGGCTCTCTGTCTTTAACGAGGATAACAATCCCAAGCATTCACCTCAGGCAAGGTGCCTTCCCTTCCACTTTTTTTTACAAGCGATGCGCTTGGAAGTACACCTGGTTGCAGCCGGCTACTTTTACGGGCCCACAAAAAAACACAGAGAGCTATTTTCCAAATATATTTGTGGCAGACGTAAGAAGTGTCTTGGCGGAACTGTCCTATTAAAACCTCAAGTAATTAACTGCTTCAAAAGGCATTTACTAACTAAAGAGTTCACCTTCAATCAGAAAACTCACACCCATCGGTAGAATGAACATGCCCTCTGTGTTTCACTCTGCCCTCTTTAAGTGACTATTAATTTCTTCCTCATGCCACCTCTGCGGCTGTTGTTAGAGGACAGAGTAGCTTCTAAGGAAGAAGCTAGCTAAGGAAATAGAAACAACAAAATCCTTATTTTACACGTACAGGTCTCCCTTGGATTGCACAGATCTAAGCAGCACGATTTTGGTTATTCCT